TCAATTATAAAATTTCTTCATCTGAGCCTTCAAAAATTGAAATAATAGTTTTTACGGCCAGAAGGCAGGAACAGCCTTCTTACAGATGAAGGACTGTGTAAGATACGCGGTTGCAATATGTAACGGCCGCGAAGTAAAGACATCTGTACGATCGACAACGCTTCTATTGGATTGGCCACGTCTCTCGCCGTGGGTGTTCCTGTCGCTCGCCGGACCACCAACAGATGGCAACATGAGAAAAGTAAATTAACCGCCCAACTGTTGCCGTAACAGTCACTTGTCTCATTGCACACGCAACGAAAGAAAGGTGGTAGAGTAGCCTCTTATCATGTATCGAGCTGTGTATGCACGCCTGACGTGTGGCGACGTGACCTCGCCTAGGTAAACACCGTTAATTCGGTCATCCTATAACCATTATCACTCGGAGGCCTGCTACTACTGAAGCTGCTAATGAATCAGTAACATTTCAGTTACAGCATACCTGAAATTCAGGCAACATTTGCAGTCATGCGGACAGAAGCAACCAATAGGCTAATCTTGATTTAACCACCCACCTTGCCTACAGTTGCAGCTATTCAGGCCAAGTCTAGAAGACATGAAGCGGACCAGACTAAATCCTTAGACAAGGATTTTGTTGTAGCAAAGACAACAGGGAAGGAAAGCATATAATCGTCGGATTATTGATCTCAGTATGCTTCCAACACATCCGTAAATGCGGTATTTATTGCCTCGGATTTTTATCGATCGTGTGATATCGCGTTAGTTTCGTTACCATGTCGGAAATCAGTACTCCTTACTGAGGTCGTTATGACGGTCTGTTTTACTCATAATCGCGAAATCCCGAGACCCAATCGGATGACTGATCGCTCATTCTTCCGAGGTAGATAAATGAGAGTCATTTTATGGGAAGAAAAGAGGATACTGCATTTTACATTGTTCACATGGTCGTGGATATAGCCTAAGACTGATGATTGGAAATTGCTGATAATGAAAGGAAGATTAGCGTCGCAGCACAAGCTCCATAAAAGGAGTCTTTATTGGCATCCCATCATCAGTGTAAGATAAACTAACATCTGAACGGCTAACAACTTTTCCGTTTTATCGTAAAGACAGCATCGAATCGACTGTCAGGTGATTATTAATGCGTTCTGTTTCTTGCCTCTTTCTCACGCAATGGCCACCATTCAACTACCTCATCGGAATGCAAGACGACTGGCAGGACCTATACTGCGAATGTACGATTTTTCGACGCACTACCGACTGAGGTGCCCTTATCTGTATGGTAAATTGATTGATTAATGTGAACATCAAAGAAATAAATTGAAAGAAAAGACAGGTTATGGAAGAACGCAGATACAACTGATTGATCAGAGAAGATGAAATGTATCCCCACTGATCATCCAATTAGTATTATTAACAGAAAAATGACATAGAGGCTATATATATAATCTGTTTTCAATTCACTGCTGGATGAAGGCCTCTCCAACGCCTTGCCTTTCCAACACTTATTCTTCTCTTGGAGTTCTGCCACAGTTTGAGAAAGACGATGCGTTCATGCCCAAAGAGTAAACATGATTGCTGCTCGCCGTCAACCTTGATACTGTTACATTAATTTAGCCGGTTGACGAGTGGCTTACATGACATTGTGTCTTCCTGGTGCACCGTTTGCCGAGTTTTGATGTGGTCTGTTATCTGGCGATGTTGTTGTGCAATGGATGCTGATCTCCTCGATCATACCGATGATGATTTATGATTCTTGCTTGAGCAGAAGAGCAGCGTGGTTGGATGTAACTTCGAATTATGAACATTTATTATCATCGAACGACAAAGCGACTAACTAAAGCATTTAGTTGTATGACTGGGTGGCAAACGAAGGGGCAAAGGTCACGAATATAGGCGTTTTCTGTTCTGTAAGAAGACAGATCTGTTCAAGACATTTCTGATTTCAATACTGTGCAACGACTGCAGGTTCGCCCACTCGTCGGTACTAGTCTCAAATACTTAAACTAGGCACAACCTGTTCGAGAAAGGTGGATTTCGTATTAAAATGTAAATCTTGGGCAAGTTTCATCAGGCTTTATACGTTAATCTGCGCAGTCACGCTGTTCAAGTTTTATTTCGATTTAGAATCTGCGAATACAACGTCAAAGTGAATCAGATAAACATTTGTTTTAGGAGTCACAGGATTTCAGATTTTTGTTCGTTACTTTGCCAGTACCCTGCCGTAGTGGTGCAAAAGTTATTTAATAAAGTTTGTTATATAGAACAAGAGGTTAGTTTTAGTTAAGCCGATGACGATGACTATTGTCAGTAAATAATTTTTTGAGTTACAATAAACGTCCTTGCATAAATGGCTTCGTTCAGCTAACAATGACAAGGGCAAGACCGAGATACGATAGGAAAAATACACGAAAAGATCTTCGCAGGCTGTGGCAGGGCCGAGCTATACTCAGTGACTAAGCTGATTCTCGTAGTAACATATTCAGGCTAAAGAGAAAATGTATGACCAAAGATGCTGAAGTGTTCCCCACGTTTTTAGTGGCCATAAACCCAAAAATGGTTATAAGGAAACCTGACGATATTTAAACTAAATCGTGCGAATACGACTGTTAACTATATGTAGAGCATAGGCAGCATTTCAAGGTTAGACTGCTGATTCGAGATACACGTGAAGATCCAGATAACGCTGGAACAGTATCATATGGTAATGAACACAGCTGAATACACTCCTTTCAAGAACATGGAAAGTTCGAGATAAATATTTAGCAAAATAGCATAAAGCTGCTAACAAGTGAGGTCTCTAGTCAGACTCAACCAATGACAAAATACTGACAGCATTGAACAACTTATGATGTTTATGCGAGAGATTTTCAAAGAAGAGAAACCTGGATTATCTACGTCATCATCTTTATAAACCTGATTTGGGCATCTTCAGATTTCAGACAAAGTCATAATTGTCCTGTTATCGTCTAGCTGCCCATGCCGTTATACGCTGAAACTAACTTGCAAGATCGATAATGTACTGTTTTTGCCATAAAACCGCTTTAGCTTCAGCCTGTACTGCAACCATAGCGTAAATTTAAAGTTTTATGGAAATATGCTGCTAAGTATTTCTTAGAGTCTCATAAAACTGAGCTACTATCTTTAATTAAACCTTCGAACTTCTTATGGATTTATTACCCCCAGAGCAATAACTGCTTATAAAATGCTGTTTATTCAAGAAATCATCTCCGGATATTCAGTTTCCACTTTCAGATGACATGCCGGCATAAGTAAGCAATTTCGAATCTCTTGAAATCAAATGACTGAATCCATTGAAGAGCACAGTCTCCCACTGCTTCGAGGTACCTGGCTGTTTCCCACTCTTTAACGAAACTCGAGCTCGGCAACATTTGACACCACTGGTTGAACAGAATATATAGCTTAATACAAAACGATATTTCTAACTCGTTCGTACTATGAGCGAAGAATGCTTCGTCTTTTGCGGAAATGCGGAGGGTTATATAACCGATCAAATGATATTCCGCACGCACAGATGAATCAATTCTGTAGTCTGTATCTGTGCAGATGAACGTCATTGTGTGCAGGCTTTTCTTACTCGACTACACTATCACCGCCTGAGGAATGTCCGCAATAGTGCGGAGGTATAGTCCTAATTTATAAATTACCCATTACACACTACACCTTGCGCTTTCGTCTCTTCGCCAATTTCGCCAACCAACGCCGCACACGATGTAGCGAGTTCAGTTATGTGTCCCCCGGTCGACATCTGTCAGATCGACCGTCAAGGCTCGCAACTGAAAGTGTCCTTTTGTTGTATCGCGGGCAGGCACGCCACCTGAGAAAGCCTTATGAAAGGACAGAAGGAGCCGCGCCGCGCCGTCGTCCCTCCTCACCTCAACGCATCTCTGGCACGAGCGGGGTGCGGACGGCCGTCTACCATTCTGCTGTAAGCGTTTGTCAACGTGGGTGTCGTCGTCGACGGCGCGAGGCGCATTCGGGTGGAATGGTCCTCGATCCAGAGGAGCACGGGTCGGTCCGTGCGAGGAACATCTGGGCGCAGTGGCATTCTTTTTTGTGTCGCGTTTCCGATTAACCAACGACCAAACGCTATTCATGCCTTCACGTGATTCATTCAGTACGCCACGGCGGAATGCTTGTATTACCACATACGTAGCTGACTCAGTGGGTGTTCCCTAACGTAAGTGCCGGCGGAGTTGGCGCCAACTGCACCCACCTAGAGTACGTAAGTACTTCAGACTGCCACCTACTGCCGAAGCCCAGTTTAGTAACGAATTGCCACCCAGCAATACTTCTTATTGCCTATAAGGGGGACCAAAAATTCTAAGCATTACGAGTAGAAATGTACTATAGGCAAAAATGTAGTAGTCATCGTCACCTAAGCTACGATCATTGGGCATAGGAATAGTTCTGATTGGGGATGTCTGATCATTTAAAATCGTGTAGCGAATTTATATTAAGTAACACCTGCTGTAGCGGCGGTTTTTACTGTATTTCGGTTCTAAATGTCGGCATAATGAAGCTTGATTGAATAGATGATTCTCTTACGTTAATTTGATAGATTGTGATCTAGATTAGTTTATATTGTAATGCAGTCCAGTTCAGTAGGCATTGTCAACTGTGAGATCGCAAGGGTCATTTCCAATAGTGTGCTCAGAAAGGAAAATAGGGCTCTGAAAAAACCAACTTAAACACAGGAAAAAGCGTAACAAATATCTTCTAAAATTTATACAGTTTTAGTGCCGGTATTTTTGAAAGCAATCGGTCTTCACCACAGAAGGTCACTTCTTCTGGTGCAATGACAAAGGGCATACAGATTAAGGTGAAAAAATTTGTTTTAGGCTATCGTTGCAGACTGCATCACAATGTTCATCAAGCAGTATTATATTAGAAGAGTTTCTGTTATGAACATTTCCTTATGTATAGTAAAATTACAGCGCC